CAGCAGGAAGCAAAAAGCATGTATGAAAGCCTGATACTTTTCTTTTCACACAAAAGCCAAAGCCAGAGTAAAACAAAGGCCTTCTTAAAATAGAAAGTTTACAATATATTGCTTAGAATAAAAATCACCACTTAGACTGCAAATGCTGAAAGTACATTAGTTTATAGAGAGGCACTTACACCCCACATATTTGTGTCAGAGTTGAACTATCATGTATTATTCTAGATTGCACAAATGCTCTTTTAAAATGTTTTTACTGCTGGTATTTTCTCTAATTTCAGCAATCTTTCTATCCCAAATACCTCTATGCTCCTTACCCAGGGGTGATCACAAAGAAAGATTATCATCTTTTATTTGGTTAAAGTCTTTAAAATGAAATACATATGTTTTCAATTAACAAACATCAAGTCAAATTAAGCTGTCACATCCCTTTTTCTGTCACTCCAAATGTTGAGGAAATGTTTCAGAAAAATATGTAGGAAAAACCCTGAAGTAGCTTTTTTTTAAAGCTCTATAAATCTTATAAATGAAAGCTGACATGTCATACAAGAAAAAAATACCAAGATCAAACCATTGAGCACAAAAAAAAAAGAAGAATTATGAAAGGAAATGTTATCACCTCATCCTTTATTCCTTCAGCTGTGCCTACAGACCAAAGACAGCTTCAGACTGATGTAACTTCCTGCATACCTCATGACAGCTTAAAATATGCATGAAGCCCAAATGATTAATGCATATACCATATCCTGTAAAGCAGACTACAGCTACATATCATATTTCTGATAGCCCCATAATATTATACTGTAACTGCTTTAACTTTAGCTTAAGAGTTTGTCAGAAACCTGTAAATACTCTAACTCCATTTCCCATGTCTCTACGTGCAGTCAAAGTTCTGGTCTAGATAACTGCCCACTACTGAACACACCGCTTCCTTGTGGTCACACAAGGGCTGACAAGACCACAACAGTGGGTAAATGGGAGCTGTTCCCAGCACATGGAAGCTCTCATTGCAACAGGAATAGCCAGGCTGTTTGTAAACATGCCTTGCAATTAGGAACAGAGATCTCAAGTAGACAGCACAATACTTTTTAGAATGTGGTTTGACATGCAGAGGAATACTTCCTCCTCTGAGACCTGGTTCAGAGACCAAGGAAGATGGCACAGGCTTGTACTGAGCCTGGTAAGTTCTGGTTACATAGTTAAAATATGTTTATTCCTTTGTTTACAAAGGAGTCACAAAATTTTAGTCTTTGATATTCATCACTTAGGATCACAAGCACTTCACCCTTGCAGCTAAACTGGCAGTACTGCAATAAGATTAGAAGTGCCCTGCACAATAATCACAAAGATGTGCAACCATCTACTAACTAGACATACTCCAACCACTAACACAAACTAGGTTCCACAAACATGATACAGTATACTAATAACACAATTTGGGGATAAGAATAAAAAATAGCATCTTTTTATATTGCCCATCAGAGTTTAGGGCCAGGTTTCCATGCCACTTCTAACTCCTGTTTTCACAGCTTCACCATTTCTTACAACAGATGCAGAATATCGGGATTTTGATTATAGCTCAGGGCACAGTTGCCCATCTATACTCCACTGGCAGGTTCATGTACACAGGTATTTGCAAAACATGCACATGAAGATTTACACATTACCCTTACAATAGTAACAAGTGAGAATGGTCAGCATTTTTACCACTTCCATATTTACTGTTCTGCACAACTCTGTGGTAGCTGGCAAAACCCAAACACAAAAAACTCCACACAACTCAGACTTGTTGGGAAGACCAGGTATTTTCCTGAAGTTTAAGACCTCTTACTCAGAGCAAAGCTGTGAGGTTTTACCACTGACCAAGGCCAGACAAATATCAGAATTGTACCACATGCTTGCATCAAATTATATAAACACAAGAAAAGAGAGTTTTGACAACTAAATAGCAAGAGACATTCTCTGCAAAAATGATTACACAAAGCGCAGGACAGACAAAGCTCTGATTAAAGTCAATAAACTGACTCGCAGATCACCAGCTGCCCTCTTCAGTATTTTGTGTCCCAAGACCAAACTGCAGATGTTTGAAATACCCTGCTCAAAGGAGGCAAGTCAACTCACATTTAAAGTAATAGCTGCTTTCCTTGCACTGTGAGTAATATGGCGGGGTTCTTAACAAGATTATTTGGACACAAAAAAACCCCACCATCAGAAAGCCCACTGTGTTTGGAGCAGTAGAAACATTTGCCTGTGTCTGAGCTTTAAAATATAGATACTTAAAACCTTTACATCATCTTTCTACAGAACCAGTGACTGGACTGATGAGCACCATGAGTGCAAGCAAGAAGCCACTTCTAGGAAGTCTGGTTCCATATTCATGCTACTAACAGCCAGGACAATTTTAAGCAGAAAGAACTGTATGAAGAACACAGTATTTAATGAAAGTTTTAGAAAACTTCTATAACCTAGGTATTAAACATCTTCACAACTTGCCCTACACTCATCTTTGTAATTTCAAAATCATTACAAAGACTCTACACTCACCACTTCAGGGTTTGTAAGCCCTGTCAAGTGGCTCCCAAAGGCTTCACCTTTCACTGAATGTAATCAGGACTTACCCCTACAGAGCAGGTTATCTCAACTGAAGGCATTCAGTTAGTCACAACAGTTAAATGGAGCAATGTGAGAAAGCAATGTGACAAACGATGAGGACAGCACCCAGACACAGACCTTAGTCTCCTCCATCTCACAGGCAGATCCAACAAATGGCCAATTCCACCACTATCAACACAACTTCTCAAAGCTGCTCATAAAACAGAAAGACAAGAACTCCACCCAAGACCATTTGCTAAGGCATTTTCCACAGACCTTGACTTCAAATCTAAGAGTACAGGTCTAAGAAATTACTTTCAATTACTACAGTAAATTCATTCATGGAAACATCTCAAAGCACATAGAAGAAACAAACTGAAGCAGACTAGATATTCTGCTAAGCCTATAAAATGTTTTGTCTACACCACAGTAGGATGTTTCAACTTCGTTTTTAATAATTTATTTGTGACTTTTCATTCATTTCAATATGGTTGTAACTGCTTGTTTTTCAAAATAACAAAATATTTAAATGGTGGCTATCTTAAAAAAAGGCGATTAGTTTCAATCAGCGAGGATACACAGCTCTTAGAAGCTAGGTACGTTTATTTGGTATCTTTCTAAAATGAAGCAACAAAAACACACACAAAAACCCACAAACCTTACGATCTTCTTTAATTTTTTTTTTTTTTATAATTAAACACATCCAAATGTGAGGCTTTGAAAAGCTTTAGGACCTATCAGATTCATTTATACTGAGTCTAGCTCTTCAGCTGGCATCTTTTCCAAAGTTTATGGAAAAGGATCTAAGAAGCCTGCCATCAATAAACAGGAAGTTTAAAATCTTTAAAGATGCAAATAGGGTAAGTTAGGAAGATGGAAATTAAATTGGAGCCATTCACCTCCATTCTGCTGACTCAAATATAGGCTGGACAAGGAACACAGCCAATTCCTCTTCAATGTAAACAGAAATATACCTGGGGACAAACAGTTTACATCTACCAACCACCAAGCAGGATCAAGGCCAAGAGCTGCTCCTCAATACCTTACACCAACACTCAAGATGCATTTTGTCTCTACTTTTTTGATCCGCACTACACTTACTGGATGAACAAACATGTTATACTCCAATTAGGTCGCTTGATGAAGGAATAATGCTGACACCAGACTTAGTACCTTTCATTTCATATAAAACATTATTCCTTTTCCAGAAATAGTTGAAATAGCACTGAAATTACTTTAGTAATTTGCACAAGGAGTTTTCACTAAATGTATTGACCCACCATTCATTCCATTGTATATACTTCTGTGGTGAGGTGACAGGTCATCTGTTACTTGTCTCCTGAGGGTACCTTCTCTGCTGCCTCCACTGAGATGTTTGAGATGCTCTGGGCTCCCTCCATAATGTTTGAGATGCTCAGGACTTGTACCCCTCACTTTGTGGAGATGTTCTGTACTTCCACTCGGTGTGTGCTTTTGAAGATGATCTGGGCTGCCACTGCTGTGCTTTTGATGCTCAGGGCTACTACCAGGCCTCTGCTTTGGAAAGTGTTCAGGGCTACTATTCAAAACATGCTTTGGCAGAGTTTCTGGGCTGCTGCTGCTGTGCTTTTGTTGTTCAGATGCTTTGACAATGGTTTTGTGATGTTCTGGACTTGGCCCTTTCAGGTGATGATCAGGACTGCCAGAACTCCTAGGCTTCTGGAGGTGCTCTGGGCTGATACTTCTGTGTTTCTGGTGCTCAGGGCTTCCCTCTCCCCGAGCTTTTTGAAGATGTTCTGGACTAGTACTTGGATGATGTTTATGATGGTCTGGACTGTCTGTACTTCCTGTGCTAGAAGTACTACTCCCATCACCCACATCTCTAATGTAAGCACTCGTCGCGGTTAACTGACACAGGCTGATCTGGCTGTCGATAGAGCTCCGGCTGCCTGCTCCACCACTCTTCTCCTCATCCAGCAACACACACAATTCTCTCAGCTCCAGGTTTTCCTTAACCACTTCTTCTTGTCTCACTTCCAGTTCTTTCAACTTCTGTAAGTATAAGGCAACCTCTTTGTGCATAATACTAGCACTGTACCGGCCCAGTCTCTGCCACTCACGGGACACCTTCTTGCCTTTCTGCCTGTCATCATCCAGAAAGCAGCAAAGGTCTCTCAGTTCTTGGTTATCTTCTTGCAGCTTCTGGTTGATATCCTTTAAAAGAAAGATAACCATGAGAGAGAAGTGTCTAAAAGAATTAACATTATACCATTGTTGTTATGCAAGTCAGTGAACAGCACTGCTATAAACCCATCATCTAAGCCCTCAAGTGAGGCACAAATAGTTGTGGATGTCTGGCAGATTTTTAACAGCATTATGTTTCAAACAAACGAAGCTGCTGTCCAGTAAATGAGACTATAATGTGGAGCTAATCTTGAAGGGTTCAAAGACTAACTTCTGATACAGCATAAAAGTTTCAGGTGCTAATTAATTTTCATGCTAAATATCAGAATAATTTAGCTCCCAAACTGGGCAAAGACCATAAGCGCTCTCGTGATGAACTCACTCCCTTGAGAAATATTCATCTGCTGAATAAAACTGCAAGGTACATCAGAAATTGTAATCTCACTTAAATAATTAATTATTAACACTTACACTCTATTACCTAAAGTATATTCACATCTAAAGATTAACCTTTTAGAGATTTAAAATACTTAGGGTTTGTTTGTTGCAAATTTGCATAAAAGAACCTTGTCAGTCATCACTTAACCAGAATTGCTTCAACCACTCTGAAATAAAATTACCTGCTTTAATAGATTTTTCACTGCTAAGAAAATGAAGTATGTTCTTCCATGCCATTCTTTGTGTGAGGAACAGTCTGAAGCAAAAATGTTCAAGCTATTATTATAGCAGAACAATATGCCAAAGAAAACATTTCCAGTATTTTATCTTCCTAACTGGTTTGTGACTATACTTATCTTTCTCCTATCTAAACATTAATGCCTTCTTTCTTATGTATGATACTAGAAACAGAGATTAGCCACAACTGTTAAAAACTTAGCCCTATGGAAAGACCATTTTAGCACTATTTCTTAAGAAAAAGAAGCTCTTAGAACTCCATGGGATTTGTGTACATGCGTGTCTTTGCCTGATCTTTGCCTCAAAATAATTTTGGACTTGACCAGTTTCAACCCATATTTGATAAAGGCTACAAGGTAGCCTTAAACATCTGTGCTGGTGAGAGATACTGAAAATTACCCCATTTTAATAAAATTTCAAGGTGAAGCCCACAATTCATCAGTCAGAAGCAGGAAGCACCCATCCACCCAAACCAGGTGCAGATGGTCAGTGTGACTCATGGACCAATTATTTCACAAAGGACAAAGGAGGTAGATGTCCAGACACCAATAAGCTCAATACCTTATTCTCCCAAATTCCTTTTGAAAGTTCCAGCTGAGTGTTCTGAACAAAAGGCGGAAGTTAAATATCACTTCAGGAGTTCAGAATTGAGAAAGGAATTTATCACCCCTTCCTAGACATCTTGGTGGGTTTTGTTACTCATCTGAAAGATGCATAAATCCATATGATTCCACAACCCCTTTCCACATAACTAGGAGAAAGATACTATTGTTGTAATTTAGCTTACATTGAAAACGTAAGCTTTGTTTTTACTAAAGTACTATCATTGATGGGTCTTTTTTATCCCCAGTCACCGTATACTGTCTAGAAGAGGGAGAGGATGGACACAAACTCATACTTCACAGAACAGAAAAACTTGAGAGACAGGAATAGTCTTCCCCCACATGCTATTTATTTTATGACACACTATTATCAAAGATACTTTATCAGTAATTTAGTTGTTTAAAGACATCCTACAAGTCAAAAGCTCTCTTCTGATGCACTCTAACATAACAATTCAAAAGCCCACACTGCAACTCTGTCTCTCCTCTCCTTCCCTCCAACCTCACCTCACTGAAGGAATTTCCTAAAAATAAGGTCATTTCTCAAAGCAACAAGAGAGAAAATTACTTGCAGCCATGCCTACTTTAAGATAACCTTTTAGGTCTATAACCCACATGCACATGCTGCATCAGGGTCGTTATCTGTAAAAAGTCACACTATATTCCTGATCCTTGGAATTGGGAAGGAAACAGTAGGGACTAAGTTTCTCATCCAACAAAAGCGTTAAGAAGGATTAAGTCATTACAGACTTGGTCTGCCCCTCACTGTAGTCTGCAGAAGTATACAATGGAAAATGGTTTGATCAGAGATGTGTTGTCTTTTTCAGGCAATAAACTAGAGATTGGTTCTGATCATACCCAAATCCCAGGGTTTGCCATCACACACCATACACTGCAATGCATCCTGGAGATGACCAGCTCTCTCCAGACTGCCTGACAGATGAGTAAGTCATCTTACACTAAGGACAGAAGAAAACAATATAAGCCACACAAAACCTTTTGAATGCCTACAGCCCTAGACGTTATTTTTTCACATGCACTTCAAACGGGATCATTTCACCTCACTAAAAACCAATGAATTCTAACACAGAAGTAACAAGACTTAAGTGTTTCTATCACCCCAAAGCACACTGGGGCAGAGCACACAACAGCTGGTGCTCCACAGCCTACCGAATCGCCGGTCATCTCTTAACCAGGCACTCGATTTTTAAGCGAGATCAAACGCTATCCACTCCAGCCCTTGTTCACTTTCAATACGATTCTCAGTAACAGCTCCTCCCAGACCATCCACCTGATGAGATCGCTCCCAGTGGGGCAGGAGGGGGACGCGGACACATGGCAGAAACTTCGGGGGTCCCACCCTGCCCTCCCCGCTACCTTCAAGCCGCGGATCTCGCCGAGGTGGAGCTGGAGGCGGCGGTTCACCTCCCGGATGAGGTTGCTGTGGTCCAGCATTGCGCTCATCTTCTCGGCCTCAGCTCGGCGGAGGCTGCGAACCAGCTCCTCCTTGCTCCACTTGAGCAGCTCCTCGTCCGACACCTTGGACAAGTCCTCGGCCGGCGCCGCCCCGCAACTTTCCGCCGCCACTTTGGACATGGTGGCGGCCGGGCAGCGCGGGGACTCCCCGCCGCCAAGGGGCTACAGCCCTCCCGGGGCCGTCCCACCGTCGCGGCCGCCGGGGGAACGGGCAAGCCCGGAGCCCTTGGCCAGCACCTGCGGGAGGCGGGGGGACAGAGGGTGTCCCCAGCCCCAGAGCTGGCGGCGGCTGGGGGCCAGGGCTCGCGGCTAAGAGGAAAAGAACTTCTGGCCCCAGGCGGCGGATCCTGGAAAAAAAGGAGGAAGAGGAGGTGGAGGAAAGGGTGTGGAGGAAGCGGAGCCACAGTCTGGGGAGCAAACTTCCCTCGCCGAGGAGGAAAAAGGAGAAAAAAATAAAAATACACAAAACCAAAACAAAGGAAA